ATAGGATCTCGCTCCTATGTTGTCCAGCTGCAAACATTTGTAAGTGATGGTTGTGTTTTATTGTTACTCTTGCCTTTGTATATATATAACAGAAACTCATGTGCAATATGAATAGAAGGAGAACAAGAGGAAGGCAGCAGAACATGATCAAGGACTTGATGAACAACATGATGATCCAGGACTTGAACAACATGGTCGACCTGATGAAGATGTTAACGCTGTGGAAGTCTTCAAGGACTTTCATACCAGTACGAAAAAGGGCCTGAGTGATGCTGCAAGAGCAGTAGTTGTAAGTACCCTCATTTGCTTTCCTTAAAATCTACTAAACCCATTGCCATAAAAGAAGGAAACGTAGCAGGAGCTTAATGTGGCAACATCATTTAATTTTGTAGTTGCAATTTTACACCATTCAATATGGTACCTGTACATTGTGCTTATGTAATCTCTATCGGCAGTAGGCTGCAAAAGACCTATGCATTGTGCTTATGTAATCTCTATCAGTAGTCGTCTGAGGAAGTTATATGCATTACTTGTTATGAATTAATCTCTTAGGTTTTCAGTTGAAGTCATCTTCCACTATCTGTAAACAAATGTTTTACTGACTGAATTTCACAGGAAGCTATGCAAGCAGAACTTGTTGCTGATGGGCAGCAACTAATGACTAGTGCTGATGTTGTTTCCATGGTTCTATGCCTCTACCAGGGCAAGCGCCTCTCCCAGGCAAGCAGCAAAAACCTTTTTTTAAAGAATGCTGGTATCCTGAGAAGCTCCACCAGAGCACAGACATCGGCGGAGATGATACTTCAGGAGCAGCTTGCTGGTGAACAGGAAAGTACATCTAAGTTCACCGAACTAGTGGATAAACTGAAGGTGAGGACAAAAAAGGTTAAAAGGGAGCTTGAGGAATTCAAGCAACAGCAACAGAAGGAGTACAATAGGCTCAGTGAGCTAGTCTTGCGCTTAAGCTCTTCTAGTAATTAACTCTCTGTCTTCAACTCCTGCGGCTTGATGCGGTGAACATTTGTGGTCTGTTGTGTGGACGCATGTGATGGTTTGATGTTGTGATACTATGTCAGTGGTTCGCTGCTGACGTGTGAAATGTTAATTGTGGTTATTTGATTGCCTGGCTGAATTGTTATGTAGTCAATCTGTGCAGTAGTGACGATCTCGAATTACTTCTATGACGAATTAATTGTACTCCACGTGGTAGAACTAGAACAGGCCACGTGATCAAATAAAAATGCGACACGTGGAGGAACCAGTGCATGACTCATGAAATAGTGAGAGCACGACACGTGGGCTATTAAAAATCCGACACGTGAAAGGATGTCGTCAAGCCACGTTGCCGAATAAAAATGCGAAACGTGGACGGACAGTGCCGTGACGCGTGGTCAAAAAAGAAATGGCCACGTGGACCAATAAAAATACGCCACATGGTCCAATGAAGAAGTGACACGTGATCCAACCGCAACATGACACGTGTGCCCATAGAAAACTAACATGTAGAACAAATAGGAACACGACATGTGGTCCAGTAAGAACCTGAAATGTGCAAGAACCAGAGATGGCCACGTTGTGCAATAAGAAGGTGATACATACCCGAACCATCTCCAATGTAACCGGCTATAGCATGTAGATGTGGAAAGCATCTCCAACGGAAGCACCCACTAGCGTGGTAGCCCTCTTGCCACGCATGCCAAAACAGTTCTATGACGTTCTGTTTTCGTCACAGATCAAGCCACTTCTATGACGTTTTATGAAAATCGTCATAGAAGGTGATACGTATCCGAACCATCTCCAATGCAACCGGCTATAGCAAAATTTGTAATAATATATCATTGGCGGTTCAATTCTAATGGTTTACTGAAAACATAATATTTAACATATTACCACTATTTAGGATGAGTGGCAAATGATTTGTCGCTTTGTAAGGGGGGTCAACATGGGAGGAATTAAGCATTCCCCTCTAGTAGTGACAAGACATTAATAATAATATATCATTACTGGTTCATAATAGATCCGGTAGACAAAACAGTTTTCACCGGTGGTTTTTGACATGAACCGACGATAAAAAAGGGGCCATGTTCACCAACGGTTCCTATTCGACGAACTGTTGGTGAAAACGTTTGTACTAGTGTAAAAGGTCTGATGCCTAGCCCGCCCACTTTAAAGCTAACCCTAACTTCAACACCCCCTCAACCAAAGCCCCCTCTCCCAGCCACCATCCTCTCACCCACTCATGGCCATCCCTCCACCCCGTGCAAGCAGACAAGGCAGGTCTGGCAGATCTCGAGCCCGTGTGCTAGTGTCTAGTAGATCTCGAGTCCATGCACTGGCCATACCCCTCCCTCTCTCAACCCCAGATCTCAAGCACGGGCGACAATGGTGATCGTTTAATCGATGAGCGCGACACGGGTGCCGTGGGCGAGCGCAACCACGGATGACAAATGGATAAAGGATGGAGTGTGTCAGCCAGATAGATACAGGATGGAGTGTGTCAGCCAGATAGATACATTAGCAACACATGACAGTACTGTCAATACGACAAGTTTTTGGCGCATGGATGACTAAATATGTTAAGTTCTTGGCGCATGGATGACTAAGGCCACGTTCGCTGGTCTGAAACTTGACAGAAACTGACTAGTTTTGTGAGAGAGAAACACTGTAGCGGCTGATTAATGAACAGTGTTCGCTGAGGAGGATCAGTCGGCTGGTTCAGACCAGCGAACACGCCCTAAATATGACAAGTTCTTAGCGCATGGATGACTAAATATAGAACAAGTTCTTGGCGCATGGATGACTAAATACGACAAGTTTCTTGGCGCATGGATGATTAAACCTTGTCCCCACCACCATACTGTCCTGATTAGCCTTTAGTGACTTGAGGCAACTAAATGCTTGCACGTCATGTAAGAGTTTTACTTTCTAGCTACGCCAATCTGGATGGTTCCTAGCACCTTGACGCTAACCCTCATGCTCATCGTCCTACTCACCGGACTTGCGACTTATGCATCGCACATAAACCAGACTTGTGGCATGAGTTGGGAAGAAATACGTGTGCACATAAACCAATTGATTCACTTAATATTGCACATTTGACATATTCACGATGTACTGTCACTTAACCCTTGTGCTCACTATCACGCCTCATAGACAAAGCCTCGCTTGTAATAAGTTCAACCAGGAGTATGCATTGTAGTGTACTGCCACATCCACCAGGTCCTTAGATCCTTGATGCCAACAAGTCGTGCCCATCGTCACGCAGGTCAGACCACTTCATGTGATATGAGTTGAGAAGAAATTCTTGTAAATCAATTAGGAGTTTCACTTTCTACCACACTTCCCATCTAGCAGGTTCTCTGCACCCTTGTACCCAACATCACACTGGCTAGAGCTTGCATATCATATGAGCAAGGTGTTGCACTGTCTAGCACCGCTCAATCTACGATGTCGGTGTTTTTTTACGTCCGACTTGTAAACTACAAACCATGAACGATAGATCAAATGGGTTATACACATGACATATTTATTACTGGTGAGTTTATATATGAGTTTTATTGCTTGTGCGATGTGTGCAGGGTTTGCAGTGGCGTTGATGAAAGGCGTCGAGATTGTTTTGGTTCTAATACTCAGTATAGTTTAGGGGGTAGGGCTACATCCAGAGTCCCAAATAGCTCACTAAAATAAATAACTATATTCCACCGTCAGAAAAATCTTGTTTGCAGAAAACATCTCAATCGCTTGCGAACGGTGAAATGCTTGCGAACGCATTGCACATCTCAATCGCTCTTTCCTATTGATATCGACACCATTCGACGATCATTTTCTCGCCTGCTCTGCCTCACTTCTGTCAAGATGGTCACAGTCTCAGAGAGGGCCAATAAATTAGCCAGAGCGCAAACAAAAGTAAACTCACATGAGTCACGATGCACGCTCCACGCGCCACGCATGCAAGCGCGCTTTGCAGAAAGCTGGCGGCTGCCCCGGTACTCTCGGCTATCGCCCATGCGCCGGCCGGCCACGCCGACGCCGTCCACGGCCAAACGGCATGACGCAGAGCGCCGAGCGATGGTCCATGCTGGCCTGTGTGTGCGGCTGTGCGCCAGTCTGCCTCGTTTCGCCGGGCTCGGCGGTGATGTCGGGGCACTGAAGGCGACGCGAGAGACGACCCGGAGCCCCCTCCGGCGTGTCCATGTGTGCAGCAGTGCGCGCTGGGTGTTAAGTGTTCACGCCCCGCCGCCTCGTGTAGCACTGTACCTACGCCGGATACAGAAAAGGAACGGGAAAGGTGAGCGCCGGTCACGGCTATGGCCCCGTTTGATTGTCTTAAAGTTTGGCTTGTTCAGCTTGTTTTTTCAACCGGAACAGTGTTTTTTTCTTACAACAATTCAGCCGGAACAGTGTTTTTCAACCAGTTTCAGCCAAAGTTCAGACCAGCGAACGGGACCTATACTACCCACCATCGATGGACAGCCCAGGCAGGCAGGCGGCGGCCATTAACAAAGAGTAAAAAAAACAGAAAAGATGAGACGTCCACGGCTTCTCTTCTATGAAGAAAGGAAACACTCCGTGTATATAAAGAAAGTGTGGTCCGCGAAAGACGCAGAAACGGTAAAGGCAAAACGAAGAAGAGAGATCAGCTACTCATGCAAGCACACAGATAGAGATAGGCTATTTAGTTGCGGCGGTTAATTTAGGTTCTTAACAATACATGCACCAACTTTGTACATATTAAGGGCCCGTTCGGTTACCGGGGAATGAGATCATGGAACTCTTCCGACCAGGAATATCTATTTAATTTGTATGTCCAGAGTTGAGCGGGATTCGTTCCGGGACGGAAATGACTCAAACGAACGAGCCCTAATGGGGTGGACGGCATGAACTACGGTGATCGATCGGTCTATAGAAACACATACATGCGGTACTAGAGAGGTGGTGTCCACGACCACGCTACACACGGGATGCTAGCTGCAGGCAAAGGGTGAGGAATGGCAAGCCTTTCATGGGTTCCGGCGGACGGTGGCGGAGGTGCTGCCGGCCGTCCCGGCGCTCGGCCCGTTAAGCTGTTGCTGTGCGCCAGCTGCTGCTTCCCTACGGCGGGTCCAGTCGCGGACGGAGAGGTGCAGGTGCTTGCTTGCCGCCAGCATCTCCACGGCTTGCCGCGGCGTCAGGATCTCCGTCGCCAGCGCCCGCGCCGTCGCCATCCTCAGCTCATCGGCCTCCACTAGCAGCCGCGACAGCGCGGCCTCGTAGCTGTCCAGCGCCGCGTCCACCGCCTCGGCGTCCGCGCCGCCTCCTGGCCCGGCCGCCCCGAGCCGCCGTACCGCGCCGTCGCAGGTTCCGCGGGCAGCGCGCGCGCCCTGCCGTGCCGCCGCCGCGGCGAGCTCGCCGCGCTGCCTCACGATGGGCAGGAGCGGGCGGTCGGCGACGTCCTCCTGCAGGGTGGCGAGGCGATCCGACAGGGCGTTCTCCTGGTGCACCGTCCGGATGTGGAGGTCGTTGATGAGCAGCAGCTGCGCGGACGTGATCCCCAGCGCTCCCGTCGGGACGACGCCGTGCCTGAGGCCGCCCAGCAGCTCCTCCACCTGCGCCTCCAGGCCCTCCCCGGAGAGGTTGTAGAGCAGGCGGACGGTGAGCGACGGGCGGCAGCCCCCGAGCCAGAGCACGGAGTTCTCGAAGGCGGTGCACCAGGGCGGGGCGAAGAAGGCGGCGCCGTCCTCCCGCGACAGCGCGCGCCTGCGGGTGGCGTAGTCCTGGTACCCGAGGATGCACCGCTCCACCACGGCCCGCAGCTCGGCGTCCGTCGCCCGGCCCGCGGCGGCATTGGCCGACGCCGCCTCCAGCTCCGCGAGGCCCGCCTCCTGCCCGGCGATCCAGTGCCGGTAGCACGACTCGTACCGCGCCATGTCCATCCCCGTCCAAGTCTCGTCTCTGCTGTGAGACCGGGACTGGAGACTGGACTTATCGACGAGAGAGTAAGCACATGGCCTATGTATTCCCACTATATATAATCCGTACTTATAATCTATACTTTTTAGCTTAATTTTTCGACCTATCTCATATTTAATCAGTCGAAACGATATTTTAATTTATTTTTTCAACGAAACGAAAAGGAGCAGCTGCTGTACTCATGTAGTACACTTGCCTCTTTTGACCTTTTCCCTCGTTTCAGTTTTCTCTATGGTTCGTCGGATTTTGCTTGTTTGTTTCTGCGCTGCGGTATGTGTAAACCGGGACGACGGAGACGAGGCTTCGATATCACCTGTTCGCTTCAGAGCTACTTTTTCAGTCGGATGGATGCGTGCGTGTGGAGCCCATCTGATCTGGATCTCTATCTGCGTCTGCGTCTGATCTGTATATGTATCCGATGTCGGCGACGAAACTTTTGGGAAGCAAAAGGACAGGGAAAATGGCACGCAAGATTGGTCATGGAACGGCGCATCCGGCTGCCCTTCCTCTCGGCCCTCGGCTTCACCTTTTGCGTGGGCAGGTGAAGGGAATCGGAGGCCGGACCGCGGACGAGGGGGCGGCGGCGGCGGTGCATCCTTGTGCACCGAGAGCTTCCGGCGAGTCCAGTGCAGAGGTACGGTCGTTCCTGCGTGCGCGTGCAGTGGCTCACTGGCTCGTTTGCGCAAACATAGTAGGAGTAGCTTTGTGTCTACTGTCTTGTCGTTTGCGTAGAAGCCCAGACTTGGGATAGAAAAATGAAAAATAAATATTCGAATTATCTGACATTGGAATCTACTAAATTTTGTAATACAGATATTCGTATTCATATTTGTTTTTCAGATACCATGTGGGTAATTTTTAGTATTAGTTAATTTAGTTGACCTAATGTATTTGTTGTTGTAAATTATTTAATACTTTCAGTTATTTATTTATTTACTGATATAAGTTGTTCTATATAATTTATAATTTGGTGACATCATGATTGATTAATTATATATTTAATTTTACATATTTATTGATAACTGTATTTTTTATGAGCTATCCTTGTTACCCACATACTCTAAACTCTACTTGTGTAATAATTTTGTAATTACAAAGACATTGATAAAGCAAAATGGTTATTTGTTGCCTATCATTTTAAAAAAAAATTAACATCTATAATTTTTAATTGAATTTCTTCACTTGACCTATCATTTAATTAAATATTACTTCCTCTGTCCCGATATATAAGGCGTAACTACTTTTTATCCATGTCCCATAATATAAGACGTGCTCACTCTAGAGACGCGTACATCGATGCAGTAGTACTAATGTTGAAAGAGAGAATTACACGGTCTATCTACTGCACACTCGGGTGATTTATGGCCTCCTATGACCCGAGTGAGCCAAGACTAAAAATCGCTCGATTCTGCAAAGAAGACAGAACCAAGTGATTTGAAGCCATCAATCACCCGATTTGCAAAAACCATAGGATCCAAATCCAATGGACTAGATAAAAAAAACAAATTAACAGATTTTTTTATGAAATGCAAATTGAATAAATTCAAAAGAAAAAACAGATAACATACAAATTGCAAATAAAAATAAAAGAAAAATTACCAGATCAGTTCTATGTAAGACAAATTGAAAGAAATTCAAATATAACAGAAAGAAATACAAATTTCAAAATGCAAATTTACAAAAACGGTCAAACTAAAAGCAAATTACATCAACAAACACATAAGTTTACACCTGGCTGTCTACTCACCTGTCGAGTGTTTTACGAGGACGGGACATTCGAGTGTCGGATGACAAACCAACACTCGTGACTGATGAAAGAAATAAAAATCGAGTGTTTTTTATACATGCAACACTTGGTTGTTACGACAATTGGATATAGATCAGACGAATAAAAAAATATCCAAATAACACAAAAGAAATTAAACAAACCATACTATTTCTATGAAAGCCAAATTGGAAAATTTTAAAGAAGAACCAAATAAAACATACAAAAAATAAAAAAACAAAAAAAATATCAGATAACTGTTAAATTGGAAAATTATTGTAACAAGAACCAAATAAAACATACAAAAATTTATGTGTGAATATGTGTAATATAGGGTGTAAAACAATTTACGATAACTTGAAATGATCATCAGAAACGCGAAACGAAAGATATATTCAATGTCGCGTTATATCACTTAGGGTTTTAAATGAATTTTTATTGAACGAAAATACTATAAAATGCATATACGGCACTTTAATAAAGTTTGTAGTATAAGCTTCGTAGGTGTCGATGTTTTACCACCGATAGCCTGCCACGGAATTACCCGGGACAGAATGTTCGGGCTTCAGCGTATGCGGAACTCGACGGTGAACGCAAGAGACAGTCGATTTATCCTGGTTCAGGCCCTCGACTGTGGTCGAGTAATAGCCCTACGTCCAGTCGGCGTTAGCCCTTGCGTTGTATTGATTGTGTATTGTTGTGTTGTGTTGTTGTATCAGTCGTCCTTTCTAGGAACCCCGCCCTCCTTTATATAGTCAGGAGATCAGAGTTCTAGTCGGTTTACAATGAGAGTTTCTAGTATGATTACAGAATAATACTACTACTAGGATTATATGGGAAGAATCCTAATTGGACTAGATCTTCTCCCTTTCTGGTGGGGTATCCTGTGGGTCCCGCATCGACAAGCCCCCGAGCACTTCATGGTTGAGTTCTGGAAGCCTCGTCTTGTTTCTTTAGGTCTTGCCAAGTATAAACAAGCGTCGTCTGAGTGCTTTCTTGAGCGAAACCGTGCAGCGCTTCGTAAGATCTTTGGTTGGTGTGTACCTTTTTGAAGAAAAAAGTATTCCCATTTGGATGTAGCCCCCGAGCCTCTTGCTTTTTGGCACAATGAGCTGGAGGGTCTTCTCTTGAAATCACTCTAATTCTTCGTCGAAGGGTTCCTGAGCATATACCCGGGTTCTTTATCAAAAAAGACCTCGGGTATAGCCAGGTCCGGATTCTTTTTATCTTGATGTCTTGAAGTGATCTATCTTGAAGAAGTCTTCTTGGTGATGTGCGCTTTTTTGGAGAAAAAGTGCACTCACTGAGTGTAGCCCCCGAGCCTCTTGCTATTTGGAACAAAAAGTTAGAGGGTCTTGGATCTTATGTTGTTTTGCAACTCTTGTCTTAAAGAAGTTTTTCGAGTGATGTGCGCTTTTTTGAAGAAAAAGTGTACTCACTGAGTGTAGCCCCTGAACCTCTTGATATTTGAAACAAAGAGTTGGAGGGTCTTGAATCTGAGTTGTTCAAAGAACTGAAAACTTCCCCTAATGTAGCCCCCGAGCATTCTTCAAAAAGAACTCGGATACAGAATCTTCGCATATCCTCTGGTAGTCTGCTGCTGTCAGATGTAGAGTCTGCTGCTTTCAGATATAGAGTCTACTGCTTTCAGAGATAGAGTCTGCTGTTGTCAGGTGTAGTTGTATGGTGGTGGTTGAGTGTAAATACCATTTGTTCATGGGTTGTACGGTGTTAGTATATTCTTCCGAATATGCTTGTTGTTGAGTACTGTTGCTTCACGCCTGAGTCCTCTTTCATTGAATTCTGTCTTTTCACCGTGTCCTTTGTTAGGTTTGTTCCGCTGGTGCTCCCAGTCTATGTGCACCGCTTCTTTGGTCTATAAATATCCTCCTTGTGTGCTGCTTTGATTCATCAAGCACTTTGTTGTGTGGTTTGAAATCCCCGTAGTCATGAATATGATAGCTTGTGAAGTAGAGCAGCCCCTGGGTGTATTTTGTAGTTCTTGTGCATCTTGTCGTAGCTGGAGGAAGTCTTGTGATAGGGATTAGAGGTAGACTAATCCCGCAGCGGTTTCGTACTTGGAAGTACGTGGCGGTAGTTGGAGGAAGTCTTGTGATGGGTTGATCTTCGCCGCTTGTCTTGAGATTGTCCGGTGCAGATCAACACCATATCCGGTATCACATCGGACTTGGGTAGACAGATGCCTACCGACTTCCCCTGGTCTATGTTGTCCTGCCGTGCTGCTGATTTCTGCCTTAGATGCACTACGTCCGTCCTTTGAAGAAAACAGTGTAGCCGAGTGCGGCTTGTTCTACCGAGTAGCAATTTGGAGCACGTAGTTGTTCCAGAACCTAGTCGTGTCCGGGTTCCTTTTTGCTACCTTGCCTGTCGTAGTACCGAGTTTGTTGGGTCTTGTAAGATGTGTAATCTTGTATCTTTTGAAGTCATTTGTAATGGAAAGAATCTTGTCTTCTGAGTCGTCACTCTTTACCCTGCTGATTCCTGGTTGTTTTTGAGATTCCTGAGTTCTTTCTATAAGGAGTGGGTTGTTATAATCCTTGTGAGGTAACCTTTCGTTGCTTCATGGCTGATGAGTTTTTTTTGTAGCAATATGATAGCTCTGCCATTCTGCGGGATGGATAAGTCTAAAATCTACCCGTTGAACTGTACCGTTATGTGGATTTGTGCCTTCCGTTACTTTAGCTGTGTCAGTAACTGGACCATTGCATTCTCATATGGTGCTTTTACGGGCCCGGTGGGCCACGTTTTTATTGCTGTAAAATCTATTTAAAGGTCTTTCATCTTCTTCTTTACTGCTCTGCTTTTGCCTCGAAACCCTAGTTTTCAGAAATCCGCCGCCACCATTGTCGCCATCATCTGAGCACCGCCGTCTTAGCCTCGTATTTCCCTAGTGCCTTTTTGCTTCCGCTAGTACATGGGTAGGAAGAAAGCCGCGAGCAAGTCCTAGGCTGCCTTTGTGGACGAGGAGTCATCACTTTCCATGATCGAAAACCAGGAGTTCGTGGCCATGAGGGATGCCCAGAAGGCTTGGCCGGCTCCGACAACGACTGAAGACCAGCTTCGCGAGCTTGTTAGCGATGGTCTGATCCAGAGCAAGGACATTGCTGAATGGAGAGCTCTAGGCGAGCATCGAGTCCCCGCTCCAGGTCCTGGTGAGATTATTCTTTTCGTCTCCTT